TAATTAATCTTTTGTTATTTATTTCTTGCTAGCTTATTCTTGGTAGGATTCCTGTTTTGCATTTATCAGGATCTGTTTGTGCTTAGATTGTTCAATCAATAGATCCAGTTAGCCAATTCTGCAATCGGATCTGTTTGTTTGTTTATTTATTTAATTTTGCCTTTTGCCCATATGCCCAGAAGGTTTTCGCCCCCAGGTCTACCAGTTTAATGGTCGTTATTCTATTCAGGTGTCCTCCGGAGGGAGCGGTATGTCCTTATCTAGATCATTTTCCATGTTTTGGACCTGAGAACTCTAGTGTCTGTCACACTTGTAGTAGTTGTTCTTGTGTAAGGGTTAGAGTGCCTGTGGGCGGCATTGCTGCCTTGCCTAGGTCAGCAGCAAAGGTAAATACACCGCCATAGGATGACCTGGTGCAGTGAATCTTTTTTTTTTTCCCCCTCCTGTTGGAATTCTCCGGTGGTGCATAATGGGTATGTATTGGGGCAGCTGGTTATCGAATATGCTATTTTGTTCTAAGTGAGTTCTGCACTTCAATTTTGTGAGGGCTCCACTCAAAGTTGCTATAAAAAAAAAATCAATAAAAAAAAAAAAATCTCTGTTGTATTTGTCTGAACTGGTGCCAGGGTTGTTGTGGCTTTTTCTAAGCCTGGGCTTCAGTTTATAGTAAGGTTACAATACAATGTTTATTGATTTTTGTGGCATTTTCTGCTCCGTGGTGGTGGTTCTTGTTTCGCCATTGTGGACTGGAGGGTTTAATTTGCGGTCTCTTTAGTAAGGTTTTTCGCACCTTTTCTTAGACATTGGTATTGCCATTTATCTGTGCTGGTTTGTAAAATATGATTGTCCAGGCCGCGGTGGTGGGGTGGGGCCAGGTTGGTCACCTGGCTTTTGGGTAATGTCGCCCACTTTGTGGGTGGACAGTGGTTGGTAAACAGTCATTTGGTTGGTGTAAGTTATTGCTGCTTAAATCTTGATGACTAAGCATGGTGGTCTGTTAATGGTTAACAGTGGTTCTGTTTGGTAATAAAGGTTAAAGTCTATTTATTGGATAAATTAATTAAAACCCAATAAAGGTGCCGCGGCCTAGTTATTCCACAATCGTTGTTGTGTTTTACTTTATTGTTTAAGTTTATTGTTATGGTATGATGGGTGTCAATGGGGTGTACAATCCCATGGATAAGCTGCATTCTGAGTGATGTCACCGGTCTCTAGCGAATGGTTACACGACATTCTCAGTGATGTCACCAGTCTCTAGTAGAGGAGTAGGCTGCAATCTCAGTTGACATGCTAGCATAGGTTAATACGGCATAAGGAAGAGAGTAAGCAGCCACCTTCTACAGCACGGGTAGGCAACCTTGGCACTCCAGCTGTGATGACACGACAAATCCCATTGAGCCTCTGCCTCTGGGAGTCACGCCTGTGGTTGTCAGAGTCTTGCAATGCCTCATGGGACTTGTAGTTTCACAGCTAGAGTCCCAAGGTTGAATACCCTTTCCATACTGTCATAATTACTATAATTAGGCCCATTTGGTTGAGGGATTACATTGTGATTCAGACAACCGATAAAGCAGAGATACTGGAACTGCTTCTAACCACGTGGAAACGTGAAAGAAAAGTGTACGGGGTCAGCCAGCGAGAACGAAATGAGGTGAGATGGTAAAAATGTAGAAAGCAATATCTGTGTTTGGCTCCCTATTTAGCTGCATATTAAGTTGCTAGGTGACATCATGGAAAGCCGAGTGGATCGGCCGCCATGGCTTCCAAGAGGGACAGGGTCCAGGAAGGTAAGGAGAGTCAGCAGAAAGATAGCCCGGCCATTCTGAAACATGAAAGCCATCCAGTCAAATCTCCAGAATCCATAAGAACCGCCTTATCATACTGGGAACAATGGTTATATATAGCGCTTTTACTGGAGATTAATGGGAAGGCAGCTGGCTGGGATCTGATCTGTAAGGCTTGTGGATCCAACAGAGAAATATGAAGTGTGAGATGAAGCCACAAACATAAAACATACCCAACATAAAAAAAAGATTTAATTCTTTAAAACACCTGATCCTGACCGGTGACATCACTGAGAGTGCAGCCTATCCCTTCACTAGAGAGCGGTGACATCACTGAGAATGCAGCCTATCCCTTCACTAGAGACCGGTGACATGACTGAGAATGCAGCCTATCCATTCACTAGAGACCGGTGACATCACTGAGAATGCAGCCTATCCATTCACTAGAGACCGGTGACATGACTGAGAATGCAGCCTATCTCTTCACTAGAGACCGGTGACATCACTGAGAATGCAGCCTATCCCTTCACTAGAGACCGGTGACATCACTGAGAATGCGGCCTATCCCTTCACTAGAGACCGGTGACATCACTGAGAATGCGGCCTACATTACAGAAATGATGTAACATGGAGACCCACCAACTCTATCCAATCATTTTGTATCCCATCAGGCGCGCCCTATCTAAGGGGAGATTGTACAATCAGATGGTAACATGTGTGGTGAGATTTGATGTGATTTGGGGATCGGTAGGAGGATGGAGCTGATGGGGGTTCACGTTTTCATTCTGGGGTGATGTCATGGGGTGATGTCATGGGGTGATGTCATCGCTGATGTTGTGGATCTGGCTCTCTTCGGATTATTGGTCTCGGGGTTATTTATAGCTCAGAATTTCCTGTTTATTTGTCATGTCGGGATGACGGGGAGAGATCCCGGGACTTGTACACGGAGTGTGCAGGGGGCCGGAGACTCCGGGGTTACAAGTGTACTGAAGCCATTGTCATGTAGAGTGTAAGCTACAAGGAGGAGGGGGGTATACTGTGCAGGGTATACAGGAGGAGGGGGTTGTACTGTGCGGAGTATACAGGAGGAGGAGGGTGTACTGTGCAGAGTATACAGGAGGAGGAGGGTGTACTGTGCAGAGTATACAGGAGGAGGAGGGTGTACTGTGCAGAGTATACAGGAGGAGGAGGGTGTACTGTGCAGAGTATACAGGAGGAGGAGGGTGTACTGTGCAGAGTATACAGGAGGAGGAGGGTGTACTGTGCAGAGTATACAGGAGGAGGAGGGTGTACTGTGCAGAGTATACAGGAGGAGGAGGGTGTACTGTGCAGAGTATACAGGAGGAGGAGGGTGTACTGTGCAGAGTATACAGGAGGAGGAGGGTGTACTGTGCAGAGTATACAGGAGGAGGAGGGTGTACTGTGCAGAGTATACAGGAGGAGGAGGGTGTACTGTGCAGAGTATACAGGAGGAGGAGGGTGTACTGTGCAGAGTATACAGGAGGAGGAGGGTGTACTGTGCAGAGTATACAGGAGGAGGAGGGTGTACTGTGCAGAGTATACAGGAGGAGGAGGGTGTACTGTGCAGAGTATACAGGAGGAGGAGGGTGTACTGTGCAGAGTATACAGGAGGAGGAGGGTGTACTGTGCAGAGTATACAGGAGGAGGAGGGTGTACTGTGCAGAGTATACAGGAGGAGGAGGGTGTACTGTGCAGAGTATACAGGAGGAGGAGGGTGTACTGTGCAGAGTATACAGGAGGAGGAGGGTGTACTGTGCAGAGTATACAGGAGGAGGAGGGTGTACTGTGCAGAGTATACAGGAGGAGGAGGGTGTACTGTGCAGAGTATACAGGAGGAGGAGGGTGTACTGTGCAGAGTATACAGGAGGAGGAGGGTGTACTGTGCAGAGTATACAGGAGGAGGAGGGTGTACTGTGCAGAGTATACAGGAGGAGGAGGGTGTACTGTGCAGAGTATACAGGAGGAGGAGGGTGTACTGTGCAGAGTATACAGGAGGAGGAGGGTGTACTGTGCAGAGTATACAGGAGGAGGAGGGTGTACTGTGCAGAGTATACAGGAGGAGGAGGGTGTACTGTGCAGAGTATACAGGAGGAGGAGGGTGTACTGTGCAGAGTATACAGGAGGAGGAGGGTGTACTGTGCAGAGTATACAGGAGGAGGAGGGTGTACTGTGCAGAGTATACAGGAGGAGGAGGGTGTACTGTGCAGAGTATACAGGAGGAGGAGGGTGTACTGTGCAGAGTATACAGGAGGAGGAGGGTGTACTGTGCAGAGTATACAGGAGGAGGAGGGTGTACTGTGCAGAGTATACAGGAGGAGGAGGGTGTACTGTGCAGAGTATACAGGAGGAGGAGGGTGTACTGTGCAGAGTATACAGGAGGAGGAGGGTGTACTGTGCAGAGTATACAGGAGGAGGAGGGTGTACTGTGCAGAGTATACAGGAGGAGGAGGGTGTACTGTGCAGAGTATACAGGAGGAGGAGGGTGTACTGTGCAGAGTATACAGGAGGAGGAGGGTGTACTGTGCAGAGTATACAGGAGGAGGAGGGTGTACTGTGCAGAGTATACAGGAGGAGGAGGGTGTACTGTGCAGAGTATACAGGAGGAGGAGGGTGTACTGTGCAGAGTATACAGGAGGAGGAGGGTGTACTGTGCAGAGTATACAGGAGGAGGAGGGTGTACTGTGCAGAGTATACAGGAGGAGGAGGGTGTACTGTGCAGAGTATACAGGAGGAGGGGGGTGTACTGTGCGGAGTATACGTTTTGCGTTCTTTGCAGGAGGAGTAGGCGGAGTTATGATGAATGTGTGGTTGAATCTTGAATCGTGCGTTTGCTTGTCTTTTGTCACGTGACAAGTTCTACTCGGTCACGTGTATGCTAGAGTCCGTGGATACGGTTGCTATGGTGGAAGATGGTGAAGGAGGCTATCCGCATCTACTGCCGGCTCCGACCCCACAACCGCCGCCACACATCCGGGGTGAGATACCGAGAAGGGAGATACCGGGAGGGGGAATAGCACGGGGATGTCGGTGGCGGCAGATATACTGGGAGCCATAGTATGTGTGTGTGGGGGGAACGGGACACCCTGTTTACATACAGTAGGGGGATTGTATTGCCAACGGATCCTTTTTGTGATAGGGTAAAGGGGCAGAAGTTTCAGAGCGATGTACAATAATGGGGATCAGTATTTGAGGGGACATAATTCTAGGTGTAGAGTAGTGGGGATCAGTATTGGGGGACAGAATTCTAGGCGTACAGTAGTGGGGATCAGTATTGGGGGGATACAGAATTCTAGGTGTACAGTATTGGGGATCAGTATTTGGGGTGTACAGTAGTAGGATCAGTATTGGGGGGATACAGAATTCTAGGTGTACAGTAATGGGGATCAGTATTTGGGGTGTAAGCCCCCCTATGTGATAGCAACGAAGTTAAGTAAAAAAACAAATATAACGTTTAAAAAATAAAGTTAAATAAAATGAAAAATACCAAAAAAGAAGTCCCCTGTGAACATGCGCATACTAGAGGAAAAAAAAGTCGGGCGCACATACGTACGAGAATGATGAATGCGCTACACATGTTGGGTATCGCCGCGTGCGTCAGAGTGAGAGCAATACTTTTTGGACCGGTATTCATGGCTAACTGTAAAGTGATGACCGGGCTTTTATATCTTTTATTATATATAATGTTACATATAATTATTAAAAGATAAATAAAAAAGGTTGTAAAAAATAAATGTTAATTTTGGGCCTGACAAATTCTTCTGCGGGAGGTGTGTTGCAGTGCCATTCATTTCAATGGAACCTTGAACGCGCCTCCCAGCCGCAGTGTGATCGCCAGCCCTGGAATACGCGGTACCACAATGCCATGCGATTGCAAAAAAAATTTAAAATCCAAAAAACTATTTTAGATAAAAGATGATATTAAAATGTTTTCTTTTAATCCCTCCAAAAATAATCAGCCAACTAATTGATTAGAAAATAATGGTTAGTTGCAGCCGTAGTCCCAACTGTCACTTGGTTTCTACGGAGACCCCCCCCCATGAACCCATGGAGTAAAATCAATTTTACGTTCCAGGAACTCCCCCCAAAATCAGAAATCACGGCCAGATGTTGTATTTATTTACTGATGACTGCCGGACTGGTTGCTAAAACACATCTATATGTTTAGTGAGGTCCTGTCACTGCTTCCTGATGGATTGTAGACAGTTCCGGACTCAGCGGAGGCCTCAGACGTGTCCTCTTAATCCAGGATATATGGGATTGTTTAATGTACAGCGACAGGCGTAGGAGAGCCGTATGTATACGCAGCAGCCGCTGGACTGGACAACACTCCCTATTATTCAGACAGACAGATGGAGGTCTATGATGGATCCACCTGGAGTTTGCTGGTTCTGGTATCAGCACCCTAATGTCTCCAGTACCACAGGCTGACTTCCTGCGGGATTGTATTTATCATTCACATTTCTTCCTTCCATCCATCATCAGTATAAATACATATTTAAAAAAAAAGGATTCTTTTGCATGTCCACACACACTATATTATAGACTGGGATGCCATTAAAGTTCATGTGCGTGTAAAGGCGTCCTAATACTTTTGGCAAAATAGTGTAAGTCCGGTCCACAAGAGAATCTAAACCCAAGGTTTTTTGTTTTTGTTTTGTACAGAGTTGGGAAGAGCCAGTGTTTTATTTATTTTTTTCACTTTCTGTGTCCAATTGGAGGGTGTCTCTTTGCCATAGAAACAACAGAAAGTGAGAAGAAATCTCTCTAAAATGATGGAAATCCCATCTTAGATACTTGTCACCACAACAGGTGTCTCCCATTGGAAGATTTCCCCCCTGTTCCTGTTGCAATAACAACTGAAATGTCAGGATATATTTACACTTTCAGCCCCAGTGATAGTGGTCTCCAGGGCTAGCAGATATATGCCGAGGCAGCAATAAAAAGTGACATGGGGTCTAATCCTTCCCTGCTCTTTCCAAAGTAAAAAAAAAGATACTGATTAGGGTAGAACTGAAGCCAATATTTATTTTTAGTTTTGGATAGGGGAGAGTTATAACCTCTGTCAGCTTTTATGCCATCTTTGGGTTTATTTCCCTTCACTTCCTGTCCAATAGCCACAACAGGAAGCGAGAGGAGATCCCTTCAAAGAAAGGGAAATCCCTGGTGGTCAGCAGGGTCACCAGAACTAGTGTCCGCATTGGAAGATTTCCCATCTATTCCTGTTCAGGGGACCACCCAAAATTTGGGATTTTCTTTCACTTTCATTAATAACGGTGATCAGTGCAAATAGAGAGGGTGAATCTCCCCATAGATGACACAGACATTTCGGCCCCATTCACACCTAGCGATGCATTCATCCTTTGTTGCTATTGAGGAATATATTTAAAGATTAGATGCACTTTCAGGACAAAATGCACTTATTCTTTTTGCCCCCTCCCTTAACGTAAAGGATCCCACCCTTGCCCTCTCAAGAACAATACTTGCTGAGATCCACTGGCTGCTGATCCGCAGTTTGTTGACATCCGGCAGCGCTGCAAGTCTTCTCCTGGCCAAGGACTTCTCTCTGCTGGGTGATGACCCTCATAGAAGTCTATGGGGCTGTAATGTGCCAGTGTGGCCAGTAGAGGGAGCATTGCAGCGCTGCAATGTAAAGAATAGAGGATCCGTGCCCGTCAGATCTCTGTATGTACAGATCTGCAGTGAGGGAGGGTGGAATCGTTTAGGTCAGGGGGGACAAAAAGGATAAGTGCACTTTTCCTTAAAATTAGATAGAGTTCAGCTTTAAGATATATATATATATACACACACACACTATTTCACCCTGCTTTTTTTTGGGGGGGGAATGTCAACTCAGTACATGTTGCATTGAGCCTGCCCACTCACTTTCACCGGGTTCTCAATATACACCACATCAGATTCACGTGGCGTGAATGATCTTTGTCCATTCGTATACAGAAGTGACACCGTGCATGTCATTTTTCAGCACATATTTATTTCATGATTATGAATACTCATATACATTTTGTAACCTCTTGTTGTTGCATTCTCTCCCTAGATATATTCCATCAACCAAGATGAATGTGGAGCCTCTTCGTTGGAGATCACCGTTCCCCGGGATCTGGCCGATGGATTTGTTAATAATAAGCGGGAGATTTACAAGTTCAGGTGAGGGATCTTCACTCGTTTGGTTTCCTTTGCTGCAGGGATAACATGTGCCAGTTGTGGGTCTTGATGTTCTGTTGGTATCTCTACCCATATCAGCCTATAACAGTCCCCTCTCAATATCCAAGGGCAGTGTGGTCATGGGAAATGAGAATCTGATTGGTTGCTATGAGTTGCTATTACTCCTCTGGAACAGTTTTGGATATTTAACGTATTCCCATATTTGCTTTACTGCAAACCTAGCAGTCAGTTTAGATCTTTAAAGGGGTCAGGGCTTTTCCCCATAGTTCTCCTAAGGGTAACGGGAGGACACAAACTAGCGTCCTCCCGTCACCCAAAGCTCAGTATACTGCGAGCTGTATACGGAGACGCCGCAGCCGCGACGGATCCCGACAATACTGTCTGGATCCACCCAGCTGCGTGAGTGACAGCTGGCTCTGCCTATCTAATAGCGATATACTGAGCTTTGGGTCATGGGAGGTCGCTAGTATATGTCCTCTTGTGACCCTAAAGAGAACTATTGGGAAAAACATTTACCCCATAGTTCTCTTTTAAGTGTATATTTAAAATACAAGCCGTATAATGTGAATTTGACCTGGTGTCAAAATCCTGCCGTCCCTGTACAGCAGACCAAAGCCGGTTTTGGCATTTAAATTTTAATGGGCCAGTA